ATATATATATATAATATAGTATATACATACTATATTATTTTAGTATGTATTTATTTTCTCAACTACTTACCATTTGTGTCAAATGTTTGCTGAGATGTTTGGTTGGGTTTCTTCACTTCATCGTATACAACCTCTTCCTTTTTTTTAGCTGAAAAAAATGAAGGTTCAAAAACTTGCATTTGTTTTTGCAAGAGACTGAATTATGTAATCTTATTTGCTTGAAACTGGAAGTATCTGACGGTGTCTTTTTTTCCACCAGCATATCTTTAGACTGAGGTAATTTAAAACAGATAGACATAGAGCTGATCCTTACTTAAAAAGAGGGAAAGTATCCCTCACAGGAAAATGAGCAAAAAATGTTTTTTTCTTTAAAACTTGCTCATGCATGTCTATGTACTAGACATACATACTATACTGGGTGTGAAGTTCTCACACCCATCACATCACAAACCACACAAAGTGCTGCAACATCTGATCACAGCTCTAGATATGGGTGGACACACAATGCAGTTTAGAGAGGGTTAGATGCAGAACTAGAGCTTTCTGTGTTGCAACAACTGATAAAATGAAATAAAATTTATCAAGTTACCAAACACACATTTTGCTGAAAAACTGAACTTTTTGCTCAATGAGATTACAGGACAGGTTGTTGTGAAGAGCAGAGTTGCATTAGTTCTGAAATCCAATCATTTTTGACATGGAGACCACCTGCAAACATCCAGAGTGAGCACACTCACTCCTTTTCCCTTTCCCCTTTACAATAAACCATATTGTTTTGAAATCCGTGTCTCCTGATCGTGTTCTTGCATGTGGGTTCAAAGACTGGAACTAAACATGACATATTTCTCCAGTCTCTTATGATTTTTATTTTTTTTTTCTGATGTGTCAATCTTTGGGGAACACCACATCAATCAACATAACTGTCTTTTGTTGATTCTAATTGATCACAGTGTCCAGTTGGTTGGTCATTACCATTTCGTCTGAATCTGGAAGTCCCTGAGTATCTCATCTTGGTCATTCTCCAACACTTGGGAAAGTTATTCCCACTTTGAACTGGGAATTTTCAACACAGATGTTTCTGTACACTATACCAGCCACCTGGTTATGGTGTTCCATGTATTCCTTTCCAACCAGTATCTTACATCCTGCTGAGAGTACTGGCTTGTTTCTGTCATCCCAGACCTGGGATCTTATCTGGTCTGCTAGATATGGGCCTGAACTGCTCTGGTCCTCAGGACCAACTCCTGTGCTGCCAAAACCAGTGCTGTCCTTCAGTCTGGCCCTTTATTCCCACATTTAGTTGATTTCACATCATTCTGTTGCTGTTAAGCTGCAGCATGTAACTTCTATAAAAACAAAAAGTTCTTTACATATTTGTTAAAATTGTCACTTTATCTTGATAAAATGGTGAAAGACAGAAAATATGTGAAAGAAAATCAAGCCCCCAGTTCTAACTGCAGAAATACAGTGCTTGGTCAGAAACAACCAGAGCCAGGAGGAGCATCTTAATGATATCAAATATGCTTGTGTACACGCTGCTCACACCCTCCCTCTTGCTCTCTGGTATGCTACATCATCTCTACAGTAGAGCTTGTTATTAATGCTAAGGCTGGTTAGCATGACCCTGATGACAGCACATAAACAGTTTTTATTTAAGGGTAGGTTGTTTCTCTGCCATTGACACATTAACATATTGATGCACAAGGGTAATTGACAATGTTATGACACTCTTCCTTAGTCTGTTTTTTTTGTTTGTTTTTTCACCAGGAGGGATGCATTTCTACAGATCGCAATAGTAGCTCATGGATGAGGTGAAGGAACTTAACCTTTGCACAGATTATCTCTCATTCTGCACTGTCATGACATGGTGACAGTTTTACCAAATATGTACAAAAACAGATTTTTCTTTCTATAAAAGTTGCATGATGCAGCTTTTACTCCATATATTGACTCTCATCATAAGGTAGGCAGCTGGCATTTATGGTCTTATGTAAGGACCAACACTGGATGATGTTATAAACCTGCTTGATATCCTGGTGATAGATATACCTGACGTGGGATTTCCCAGTGTTGGTCCTCATGTTTTACATATTTGTTAAATATGTAATAATTGATCACAGTGTCCAGTTGGTTGGTCATTACCGTTTTGTCTGAATCTGGAAGTCCCTGTCCCTGTCCAACCATCTATCTCACACAGCATGAATTACTATATGCAAAACAACAAAAACTATTTCATAAAATATAAGCTTTACTTGTGGATGAACCAACTGTAACTGCAAATGTTTAACTAAACTCTGTTTAAAACTAATAAAGCAAGATCAGCTTCTTGGAAGATTTTTGAAAACCACAGTAGCATACTGGACCTCACTATCTTCCATTTCTAATGTCTTTACTGTCTTTAGGAGAAGTAGATATTCCCTTTACTCATAAGTCTGTTTAATGCTCTGGCAATTTTGAACTTCTGCTTTTTTGAAACCAGAAATGACATTTGCTTTATTAAGTCATCTGGGAAATGAAGAAGAAGAAAAATTTTCACCACACACTATAAAAAGCCTTTGTATTGTAGGCACGTCCATTGCTATATATGGACATGCTT